CTTACTTCCTGAATGTGGCCCTGCTCTGGTGGAAACGAAAGCCACAGCCTTCCAGCAGATGGGGAACCAGATACTTAATAAGGATCCCCAGCTCCATTTTTACCAGTCTTTATTTTTTAAAGACTAGATTTATTTATTTGAAATGCGGAGTTAAAGAGAGAGAGAGCGCGCGCGAGAGCACACTGTCTTCCAACCGTAGTTTACTCCACAGATGCCTGCAACAGCTGGGGCTCAGTCCAGGTCTCCCACGTGGTGGCAGGCATCCCATCACTTGAGCCATCACTGCTGCTTCCCAGGTATATGTCAGCAGGGAGCTGGAATTGGGAACCCAGTGGTGGAAATTGAATGCAGGCACTCTGACTAATGGATATGGGCATCGTAATGGCTGGCAGAAATGCTCATCTCCGTAGTGAATTCTTTTGGACAAGAATTGTCAATATGTATCAAAATTAGTCAGCAAACATATGATCAGAAGTAGGAGTTGACATAGTCTCAGATTGTCTTCCTATAGGAAATTCTTAAAATTGTCTGTTGCTCGGGCATCTGTTTTAACTTTAAGTTGGACTGTCTCATCCTGGAAGCAAAGCTCTGCCACCCTTGAGGCAGCTTCCCGTTCCTTAGGGTGGCTTCTGGTGACTGCCTTCCTGTACAGCTCGCCGTATCCATTGGGCTGGCCCTGCTGACTCTCACGTGCACCATAGCTTGTGTAGATGATGCTACGATGACTCGATGTGACCCCATAGAATCACACATGGTTGATTTAGACCCACCATTAAAAATCCTCTTAGAATTCTGTTTGGCTAATGCTCTGGACTCTACAAAGACTTTGTCCCTTGGTGTCCCCTGCCTATGCACTCTACCTTCTGGGTGTGACCTCCAGGGATGCTATACAGTGCCCAGAGCCTCTAAGTAGTAAAATCTTTATTTCTAGTAAAATTTTATTTCTTGTGTCTCTCCTAATCATTGCAGGGGTACTCGTAAATTAAAGATCCTCAATTAACATACTACCTACCGCTATCAGATTTGGTTCCCAACATTGGGGAGACTTGGCAGATATTACCTGTGCCAACTGCAAAAGTGAACCCCATTGGGCCCGGCGCGGTGGCGCAAGTGGTTAAAGGTCCTCGCCTTGCACGCCCGGGATCCCACATGGGCGCCGGTTCTAATCCCGGCAGCCCCGCTTCCCTTCCAGCTCCCTGCCTGTGGCCTGGGAAAGCAGTCGAGGACAGCCCAAAGCTTTGGGACCCTGCACCCGCGTGGGAGACCCGGAAGAGGCTCCTGGCTTCGGATCGGCATAGTATCGCCCGTTGCGCTCACTTGGGGAGTGAATCATCAGACGAAAGATCTTCCTCTCTGTCTCTCCTCTCTGTATATCCGCCTTTCCAATGAAAAAATAATAAAAATAAATCTTTAAAAAAAAAAGTGAACCCCATTGGTCATAAGACATGTTGTTCCCAAGCACCTCCTGATAGTCCCCAGATCACACGTGTGATGTTCTGGCCCAAAATGTACACTTTCACTGTAATCATATGAGTACATCAAAAGTACATCAGACAAATCCAAACTGAGGTATTTTATATAAACAGCTGGCTTGGACTCTTCAAAAATGTCAAGGTCATGAAAGGCAAAGATAAACTGGAAACTGTCACGGATAGGAAAAGGCCAAGGAGACATACATGCAAAGTGTAACTTGAATGTGGTTTTGGATTTAATATGACAAAGGCACAACTAGTGGAATTTGCGTAAGACCTACTGTGGATTGTTCAGTTGTATTGAGTCAGTATGAATTTGGTTGTTTCCCTAATTGACAGTGGTTATATGAGGGGACTTTGAAAAGCTCATGAGTAATTGGAATTAAAAGGTAAATGCAGTGGGAAAATTTTAAAAACAAGCCAGGCTTCTATTACAACTGCTTTTAAAAATTAGAGAAACAGATCAAACATAGATTTCAACACATCAGTACATCTGGAGATGGAACTAATCACTGGCTCATATGACCTGCTGAGGTTTTGGCAACCCTGAGGTCCATGACTTGCAAAAGTAAAGACAGGAGAAACTGTACTTGCCTGCAAAACAAATGTCTTATCACACAAGTACAGAAACCAAGAAGGTTCTCCATACCCTACCCCCCCACACCCAGAAGAGAAGAACTGCTCTTCCCACAGAGAGGACAGTCACCTGCATATCCACCCCTTCACCTGAGTGCGACAGACCAGCCACGTCTCCTTTCCTTCACTCGAGACATCAACCCCTGATGGAGCCAAGCAAGAGGGCATCACGCTGTGACATGCAGGACAGGGCCCCTGTGCCAGTGAAGGGTGGGAGGGAACTGAATCCCTGGGCCAGTGACCTTCCCGGGTGCCTGCAGACAGCTGCCCGGGCTGTCCTTTGGTCATGTACACCGTGCGGACACCTCAGTGCACTGTGCACCCAAGGTCATGGCCTCCTATCATCCCCTGACTTCCTCCCTCAAGTCATGTGAGGGTGTCTCAGAGTGCTCACTGAAATTTAAAAAGAAGTTTATTCTGGTGCAGAAAAATATTTGAAATCCCTGCATGGATTTTTCATTGTTTGTAATGTCTTTTAATTTTTGAAGACATCTCAAATAAGATAGTATCATTACGGGTGATTGGGGGAAATGGAACTTAGGAACACTATATAAATGTTGCAAGTTTTCATGAATCTAAAGTTCCACAGACAGAAGTGTGACTTTTGAATGATATTTTCAATTTTTTTTTCTTGCTGGAAAGAAGACACGAGACATTTCTGTTTCATCTCTTATTATTCTCTGGGGTTGTTAGTTTAGGAGTGCTGTTGTTCAAAAAATCGTCTGGAGCCCTTTTATCTGCCTCTTTATTGAGGCTTCCAATAATCGTGCTAATATGAGGTGAGCTTTATGGTAGCAGAAATAGTACTCTTCAAAATCAGCTCATGTGCCATCACCATGGTCCCCTGGGCCCAGATGGTATCCCCATGAAATGTATCTTTCACATTTAAACTTGAACATCTATGTCTACTGTGGATGACTTCAGACCACGTCAATATCTGTCATTTTTCTCATTACCATTTCATCTGTGACTAAGATATCTCCTGTTGCCCCTGACTTGTAAATTGCATTTGCTTACTGGTGTGTAAACTGCTTCTTAAGAAATTAGCAAATACAAGGGACTGACTTTGAAAGTTCTAGAGAAGGTTCTTCCTAGCCCTCAGCCTGTTTTGGATGGAGAGAGGAAAGTGGCATAGAAAGCTAGCTCACAGAATCCAAGAACTCTGAGAGCTTTGGTGGAGGGAGTGTTGCCAAAATCAGCTCATGTGACATCACCATGGCCCCTGGGCCCACATGGCATCATCCCCTCCTCACTTGGACCTCAGCGTCATAATAGCATCAGGTTGTTCTGCACTCACAGTGTGTCCATTGCGAAGGCAGGAACTGAGCTCTCATTTCTTAATGCCACCCCTTCGATTCTCTTGCCTGCACCATTTATCTCCAACTCTGAATTTTGTTTGTGATATCTTTTTGGGGGGTAGCATTATGACAAATGAACAGTGTTGGCTTTCAATCAAAGTCTAATCCATAATTGTAAAAAGAACTATGTTAAAATATCCATAACATGAAACTGACCTTAATTTGTTATGATTGTTAAGGTACTGGATGAAAATACGACCTCATCTTCCCAACTGGAGAAAGAAAATTTTGGGAAAAAAAAATGCATAATGAAATCGAACTTGTTTCAGTATATTTTACTTGGAATGGGAAGATAAAACTTTTTTGTTTTATGGGCTTCATACCGTCTAGCTGATAGTTGAATCATTTATCAAGTAAAATTAGTGAGGTTACTTCTGTAACAGGGATGATTAGATTTTGACTGTGTTCTTAAATGCGTTATATGTATATTTTAAATTTGTTTATTTTGTAATACAGCCGCATAGGCTCAGGGATATTATTACAATAGTATAGTCCATCACAGTCAGAAGTCCATCGTCTTGCTGATTGTGTCCTGACATTGTAAGGAAAGACAATGGCAGGAAGTCCAGCATCCTATGATCAAGGTAGATTTAACAGTCTCAGGGGGGTCCATCTTTTGGTTGAGAGTAGAGATGCATACTGCGATGTGTCTTCACTTCTCAATATGATAGCCTCTTCTATGTGTTCGGTGCAATTTTAGCTACATGATGTTCTTGAGTTTTCTCAAAATAGATTTCCTTTTATGAGTTGTCAGACCTTCTGTTTGGATATGTTTTATGTCTATCTCCTCACCCCACTACCAAAAATAATAGTAGTAGTTTAGAGATGGAATTGTCAAGGCTAAGGCTGTATTCTTATCCCCCAGCCAAGTATCTCTGAGGCTAATGGCAAATCCTTTGATTTTTCCCAGTTATAAATCTTTTAAACAACGTCACTGTACCTACATCTTGACGTCAGTGGAATTAATATTTTTAGAATGCCAGCTTAAGAGCAGTCAGCTTTTCTGGCATCTGCCTGTGAAATGCAATTTAAAAGTGATTGATCTGAAATGCCATTTGGTTGACTGTGAGTCATTGCTGTTTACTGATAAACCTTTGGTTCATGTAACCATCGTAACAGAAAATGGGCAACAAGAAATGGGTAGGGTGCTTGTTTCTGTCAAGGTAACTGAAGGCTCCATGAAGTGGCTGTTGTCAAAGAAATTATTTTTTATATTATTCAGGAGATACAATCTCCTGGCCAACAAATGCAGTTTTCATTAGCCCTGAGATGCTATCTGGTCTCAGAAGGCAGTGTCCCAACGACACAATGCAGACAGTGGCTGTTTTAAGTCTTGAACAGTAATCCCTAGCCATACGGTTGTTTGGAGACTGGCTGCACGCGTTACTGCATCCACAGCGTAGTGCGAAGAAGTTTGCAAACAGCTGAGATACAGAGCGTAGATTAAACCAAGCGGGGAAGAGCAGTCCCAGAGGCTGCTGACTCAGGACATGCGGTGACTGAACTTTCATCTTTTCAACATCTCTGTTTTCAGATTGCCTGCTTGGTGCCCGTGGATCAGTTTCAGCTTTATCAGCGGTTAAAATTTGAACGAGGTATGTGCTCTTTTCTTGTCCCGATGGTGAATGTGGTCTCACATGTGTCTTCCTTACACCAGCCCACAGGGAGGATGAAGGCAGTTGCGGGCTGTCAGCGGGGTTGCAAGGGGGACCCAGAATGGGAAAAACTGTAATTGCAACATAAAATTTCAACTCTCAACTGCGGCCACAAAAAAACAAAAAAAGTGCAGACTATCAAGAAATAGGACTTCCCACATGTTAGTGGTTTTGTTTTAAATTTGGCTCCTGTTAAGAAAGGTTTTGCAAAAGCCAGAGCATAGATTGTCACTGGATATGGAATCAGAACCGGGGAAGATTTATTTTATTTTTACTTTTGATTTTTTATTTCTATGTCTATTTCTAAACTTACGTATTCGGAAGAGAGGAAGAGGGGTGGAGGAGGAGACAGATCGCTTGACCTTCAATTGCTGGATTACTTCCCCAATAGACAGAACAGCTGGAGCAGGGCCAGGCTGGAGCTAGGATCCCAGTGCTTCCTCTGGGTCTCCCACGTGGGTGCAGGGGCCCAAGCACTTGTGCCATCTTCACCTGCCCTTCCAGGCACATGAGCAGGGAGCCTAATCGGAAGTGGAGCAGCCGAGTCTTCAACTAGCACTCAGATGAATAGCTGATACACCAGGCGGAGACTCAACTGGTTAAGCCACCACACTGACCGCAAATTGTAGGTTTAAAGGGTGAAGACAGAGTCTCATGCCTCTATCTGTGTGACTTCTGAGCTGATTTGAGAAAGTAAATGGTGGTGGCAGTTTATATTGGGTTTATCTGGGGTCTTCCTAACCCAGTCACATGTACTGATAGGTTGAGCATGGTTAGAATACTTACTGATTGAATGTGATGGCTGAGGATGCTCACCATGGTATGCTTACCATTCTTTCATTTTATCCCAATCTCCTCCATCCTAATTCAGTTGTAGTTGGAACATGGACAGTCCGAGCATTCTGTCGGTGCCTGGGAGCAGGTGCCATGCTCTGAGGATCCTGACCCCAAGAGCTAGGTTGGGTTTCTAGGTTTCTTCTTCCCTGGTGAGATGTGACTCCTCAAGGTTGTCAGGCCATGAAGTGACCAGGACTCAGTTTATTTATAGGATTTCCTCTCCAGTGACAGCTAGCTGCTCCCTGAGCACCCACTCTTTCTTACTGTTTACCCTGTGAGAGGCATAATTATCTCAAATGCCTTTTGATAAGTAGACACGTTTTATCGTGAATCATGCCAGGAATTAAAACATTGGCATGAGTTGGTTTTCCTTGATAAATTCACAGTTTGGGTTTATGTTTAAATCAGTGGCAGAGAACCACGCTGCCATTGTAAGTTCTACCACTTACTCAGATGCGTGACCGTGGACAAAAAGGCTTAAAATCTCTGTCATTGTGTTTTGACATCTGTAACATGGGGACAGTAGTCATCTGATGTCATCAAGTTGTAGTAAGGCCTAAAGGGATTAATACAAGTAAGGATTTCCTATGAGGGCTTTCTGTGTCTCATTATTACAAATACTGACTGTGGTTGGAACTAAAAATATTTGTAAATTAAAAGAAGCATTTTTACATGAAGATCTACTCAATCGTTTTGCCCTATTTCCCCGTGTTTTTCCAAGGTGAGATGAAGATAGCGTTCTTAGAGAATAGCCACCTGTGGAAATAGGTATTGCGGTTGCCAGGGAGACGAGAACGCTTGTGGTTCATTGGCTGCATCTGTCCTCACAGTTGAGCGAGCTTCGTGGTGGTGAGGTCTGCAGGGAAAGTCTTGACCCAGAGTAGCACTGTGTCCCCGGGAGCACTTTGCCTTGTGGCTGGGGCGTTCTTGATGTCTCTGCAGCGTGCACACTTCCTCCTGACTGGTTCCTTTCTGTGTAGTGTGACCAAGTCGGGCAGGCCTCAGAGCCCGCCCTCTCCCAAACAGTGCTGCCTTCAACTGCTTCACATCCATCGGTTGTATTTACACAGAGGACTGGATTTTCCTCAGAGCTTCAAGACCGATGCCCCGATGCCCCGATGCCCCGATGCCCCGTGGGAGCTGATTTGATTGTTTTGTAATTGAAGAAACCGAAAGCTGCGCAGGTTGAGACCCACCTAGGATCACTTAGACCAGGATCTATTCATTCTTCCTTATCTGTGAAAGATGTAAACTTCTGTCCCTTTTTATTGTGATTAAGTATGTCCCATAAAATTGCCATTTTAGCGATTTTCAAGTGTACAGCTCAATTATGTTCATACAGTTGTGCGGCTCTCGTCTCTGTCTGCTTCTAAAACTCGTTACCTTAGAGGGAAATTTTCTCATCCCCAGCCCCCGATAACTGCTCATTTAGTTTTTAGTTGTAATGTATTTGCCCATTCTAGATATTTCTCTGTGTGTGTGTGTGTGTGTGTGTGTGTGTGTTTTAGGATTTTTTAAAAAATTCTTTATTTTATGACACTGTTTAACAGGCATTGGTCTAGATATTTCAAAAAGTGGAATCATGCAGCATTTGTTCTTTGGGGTCTGTCCTTGTTTTTACTTAATAGTTTCAAGATCCATCCGTTATGTAGCATGAATCTCACTTGTAGCGGAGCCTCACTTGTTTTGGCTGAGTATCTGCCAAAACATATCCTCTATATTGCAAAGAAGCTTGTGTTAATTCTATCTAATGATTGCTTTGGACATTGAGGTACAAGAATCTGAGTTCTTGCTTTTGGTTATTTTGGGGGTATATACCAAGGAGTGGAATTGCTGAACTGTACAACACTGTATCATAAATGTGTTTAGTTGGAAAGGATTGGAGTATGCTGAATTTGGTTGCCATTTGCTTGAGTCCTTCATTTTATAAAGAAGAAATTTGAAGCCCAGAAATACTTCGAGCCTTGGCTGTTCTGGAAGGCAATTTGTAATCATGTAGTTCATTCTTTATAAAGAATTATTGACAAAAAAGTATTCCAAGGAAGGAGTGAGTTTAAGAAAGTACACATGATGGAATTGACTGATTTGGGACAGCCTTTATCCAAAACATGTGCCTCATTTTTGTATAATAGCCTTCCTAGCTATTCCCAAAGTCAAGACTTTTACCATTTGGGTTCTTTTGACTTTTACCATTTGGGTTCATTTTATTTTGTGAGAATATATTGTAGGGAGCTACTTGTAAGGGGATTTGGGGTGTACTAAATGCTGATATTGTTAATGATTAAATGACTGAGCAGCTGAAGGGATTCTCATTGGCTGGGCTATGAAACGTAGCTGTAATGATTGTGGCTGTTCTAGACAAACTGGAATGAGATGAGATGAAACCCTGTTGTTCTAGTTATAAAAAATATCCTTGTCTGTATCCAGTGCTCATTGCCTACCAACTTATTTTTAGTCTTCAGTTTGCTGTCCCCTGCTTTATGTCACATGCTTGATTAACTTGCCTTTTGTGCCTTTCTTTATCGGATTCGTTATGAAGAGAAGCAAGTTTGAATAGGATCATGTAGAAACGATCAAGCCCTTCTCACAAAGAGGGGCACTTGACCTTGGTGGCGGTTCTAGCCACTCCCCTCTGCCCGCCATTTTTCCATTCGTGACTGCTCTCTTGCCCCCGTCCCTTCCTGTATTGGGCTTCCTAGACGAACAAAGAAAAGGGAATGCTGGCATGTTCCTGTGGGTGATCTTTCACCTTCTCCTGTCCCTAAACCACATGCCTGGTGGTGGTCGCTGGGGTTTTGTTGTCTGTTATTTCCAGAACCTACTTTTTCAGAGTACTTTCTTTGAAAATTGGAATGAGACCACCCTGCTCTAGCTCTTCTCCCTTTTCCTGGGTTTTATGAGCCTGTTTTACTTCCTGTAATGGCAGGTTACCTCACTTCCTGGGTACATTACTGCGTCAGTTATTGGCTATTTGGAGGTGGAGGTGAGAAGCCAAAAGATTAAAGTGGCAAGTTGTTCTTCACAAAGAGAAAGTAGAGTAGGAGTGCACATTTGGTGTTGAGATGAAGACATCGGTTGTGTTGCCTGCATGCCATATCATAGTGCCTAGATTTGAATTCCAGGTCCACTTCCAGTTCCAGCTTCTTGCTAATGGGCACCCTGGTGAGCAGGTGATGGCTCCAATGGTTGGGACCCTGCCCAGCCCTGGCTATTGTGAACATTTGAGGAGTTGAACCAACAGATTTTTTTCTTTGTCTAGTTCTCTGTCTCTGCCTTTCAAATATGTACTTAAATGAAGTAAAAGAGGAATTTGTTTCGTCATTGTCCATCCACTGTATTCCCTCATACGTTCGATATGCATTTTTATGCACTGAGTATTCCATAACCATATGCTTCTTCAAGCTGTGATTCTATTTGCCTTTGAAAGCACATTTACTCAGTCTGCCTGATAAGCTTTCTTTATACGATTTACTTCTTCCTTTGAACAGTGGAGAGACAGACAAGAGCTCCTACCTACTGGTACGTTTGCCAGTTACGGTGCATATAGATGAAACTGGCCAAATCTGGGAGCTGGGAACTTGGTTTGTTTCTTCCTTGTGGGTTGCCAGAACCCAAGTACTTAAACTCTCCCCTTCTGCCCCACAAAGTGCATATTAACAGGAAGTTGAATCAGGAGCCAAGCTTGAACTCCAACCTAAGCACTCTGATTTGGGATGTAGGCATCTTAAGTGGAATTTAACATTGATTTATTCTTGCTTCAAAGTCAGAGTTGCATAGCAGTGGGATGGAGACAGAGCGAGACCTTCCATCTGTTGGTTCATTCCCCAAATGGCTGCAATAGTCAGAACTGAGTGGATTTGAAGCCAGAAGTCAGGAGCTTCTTCTGGGTCTCCCATGTGCGTGTAGGGACCCAAGGCCTTGGACTAGCCTCCCCTGTTCTCCCAGGCCATTAGCAGAGAGCTGGATCAGAAATGGGGCGACTGGGGCACAAACTGGTGCCCGTCTGGGATGCTGGCACTGGAGGTGGAAGATAAGCCTGTTATGCCACTGTGCTGGCTCCTTCACTGATTTAAAGACTCATCCTCGCAGCCTCGCCGTCTTCA